ATGCCCTCTAAATCTCACTACCCTCGGCACTTAGAAGAAAAATGAAATAAAGTGTCCCAAGCTTGCTTATAAAACCGAAGGCACTTGATGGGGAACACAAGGTCAAATGCTAGGACAAATGGCAAGCATGCTCACTCTCTTTGTCTCATCCTCACGTGAATGGCCAACAAAAGAACAAGAATGCTCGGTCCACCACCAACACATGGACAATGCACGGTCTCTTAGGACGAAAGGGACAAAAATGCACCAAAACTCATGACTTCTCTTGGACACTCCGCCCATTAGCTTGCACGGCATTCATGGACACAAGAGGACAATGAGGCGCACGGATACTTGGGGAGCAATGAGACAAAATGGCGCACGGTCTCACATGAAAATGTTGGGAGAGAATCTTGCACAAAAGTACAAAAGCTTGCACGGTCTTCATGACTTGATGTTGGCACGGGTTCTCTCGGACGAACACGCGCGCGCACGGTCTTCTTGGGCATGGATCCTCGTCCAAACGCACGAACACACACACACACGGCACTTGCACATGAATACGGATCGAGTAATGCACGGCATTTGCGAACAATGCACGGCTATGAACATGGACTCGGAATAAAATCCGAACAATTAGCTAATCTCGTGATTAAGTTAAATTAATCACTTACTTATGTTTAATTATCTAATCAAACATAATGCTTAATTACCAAAATTATTTCGAACGTAAACGGTACGTCGAAAATATTTTTCGGTAATTTCGACTGAAATAACTGAAAAGGATTAATTCCGAAAAATAACATCGGAACTAAAATATTATTATACTGATAAAAGTCGGGATATTACAATCCTCCCTCCTAACAAAATTTCCATCCTCGGAAATTCAGAACATGACTGAAAATACATGAAAATACATACATGAAGTACATCAAAACTGAAAATCTGGAAAACGAGCGCGAATGTCGGACTCTTCCTCCCAAGTAGCTCCGTGGCGATCCCACTGAATCCGCACGAGGGGAATATCTCACTTCCGGAGCCGACGAACCTGACGGTCTAAAACAGCTATCGGTCGCTCCTCGTACGAAAGATCTGACTGAACCTGAATATCTGAATGAGGAATAACATGATCGGGGTCGCACACGTACTTACGCAACATCGATGCGTGAAATACATTATGAATGTCTGATAACGCGGGAGGTAAAGCTAAACGATACGCGACCTCGCCTACTCGTTCGAGAACCTCGAACGGACCGATGAAACGAGGGTGCAACTTCCCTCTCTTGCCGAATCGCACAACTCCGCGAACCGGACGAACTCTGAGAAAGGCGTGCTCGCCAACCTCAAACTGAATATCTCGTCGATGATGATCGGCGGAAGATTTCTGACGACTCTGAGCTGTCCTGAGTCTCTGCCGGATCAACTCGACCTGATCTGCTGTCACCTCGATCAACTGGGGACCGAGTACTCGTCGCTCTCCGACGTCGTCCCAATAAAGA